GTTACAACTTTTTTTCACACAGCTGGAATGCCTTCTTTCATTTATTTTCATTTTTTTAAAAAATTTATTAGTTTACCTACAAAACTTTTAAAAATTAAACAAAAGCACTTAACTCTTTTTTAATTAATATAAAAATAAGTATTAGCGTAACACAATTAGGTCAAGCAAAGTCATATGTCATATGACTTTTTGAAGCCCTCTGCAAATTTTTCTGCTATTCCTCCCTTCCTTAATCCCATATTGAAATTTGATATTTAAAAAAAAGGTCGAAAATCACACTGTGAACGCCTTGATTTCCAAGTCGAACTGCAGCAAGAGGGTTTGCAGAGCCCATATTATTGCTATGAGGTCAAGTGACACCTAAATTTTAACTAGCATCTCTCCCGCCGCTCTCCGATTAATGTTAGCAAGATTCAAAACTAAATTCAAGTATGCACTAAAATGCATTCTTTAAAAAAACAATATTCTTCTCGGGAGGGGATCAATGAGCCCCGTCCTTAGACCATGTAACAGCTTTTACTTGGAACTATTAAGCTCGCTCAATTTCTTCTTCCCCATTTCCTACCGCCCATCATTATGAAATTAGTTAATTGTATATAAGATTGTGCCAAAAGATTTCCTTCTGCTGTGCCACAAACGGAATTAAATTCGGCTTGTATAGCACTGGGCACCATAATGCCTATGTCATTCTAGTGGATGCCCTTCCCCTTCCATGCCCTCCCCGGACACTTGAATAACCCTTTACCACATTCAATTAGTTAACAGGAACACTGAATTCAAGTATACGCCAAAATGCACTTCTGGATTTTGATATAACCAAACATTTTCCGAGGATTTCTCCACGGGCGTACATCCAATTTCGTTTAGGGTACATTGATTTCTTCTCCACGTGCCAAAATAAAAATGGCCGTATAGCTGGCCCTCGTCGCAAATTATGGCGCATATAGATACAGTGCCGGGGCCTGGACAGTTTAGTGCCACCCTTTGCGAGCGAATAGTTTGTCCGTACTCCTTTTCACGATGCAAACTCTGCTGTTGTGGGAAACTGCAACCCCTCTGCAAGAAACTGCAACCCCTCTGCAAGAAACTGCAACCCCTCTGCAAGAAACTGCAAGAAAAAAATGTGACACCTCGGCAAACAACCCCTGGCGCTCCCCTTAAAGCTTCCTGCGCAACTAGCACTGCGCACCCGATCATCTCAACTGCATCCCACTCCCCGGAGGAAATTGTCTGAAAGAAATATTGAAATAAACATACATTGGCTTGAAGATGTGAACCGAATGTGGTGCATGTATTTTTTTTTAAAAAATGTGTTTCATTTCAAAGAATGTTTTAATCTGTGGAATTAGAGTTTACTGATTTCATTTCATTAAACCAATAGAAATAACGTTTTTGATAAAATTATTCGAAGTTACTGTTTAGCGTCGGGTTAATAATGGGTGGTAACATAAAAAGAATATTTACTTATTAGCATACATTTAGGAAAACATAAATATCTCGAAAAGCAAAAAAAAAAATTGATTTACCAAAAAAAATATTGAAATTAATATGCAGTTTATCTTTTCTGATAGCGATATGAATTGATAGCATTTACGCAGGAAGGATTATACAATAGCATAAATGCATGTGTTTGAGGATTGTATGCGTTACCTCTGTCATATCAGCTATTGCATTGTCTCTCCCCTTCGCTGTTCCATTTCCAGTCGTTTCTAATTTATGTTATGAGTATTATTTATATCTATTATCGAGTTAGGATAACAAAATCTTAATGCAAACTCCGGATGGCCCATGAACTAGCTACGCCTTTTTTAAAGGGCTAATTCATATTTGGAAGCTCAGTAAAGAGTTCGTCAACTTTTTAATGGAGAGAAAAAAAAATAGCAATATTTTATTTTTATTAGTTAAAGCCCATTTGAAAAGCATTTTTTTTCTCATGAAAGTATTATTTATAGTTAGTGATTGTTTTTAAATTTTTGTGAAAAATGTTATTTAACATTTTGAAAACTCTAACCCAAAAGATGCATGAGACAATAAAACAATGTAGCTACAATTTTCACATTGCTACTAAACCAATAGGAAAGTCTTATCAAATACAAGTCTGCCAATCTTTGCTTCAACTCGTTCACTGACCCTCACTTTCCTGTCTATCTCTCTGAACTGTTGCTTCCTTACATCCCCACAAGACAACTACGTTCTTCCATTGACAGTAGAACCCTCTCAATCCCAAGAACTAAAACTAAGACCATCGGTGAACGCTCCTTCTGCTTCCATGGGCCCACGTTCTGGAACCAGCTCCCCTTCCATATACGTCATAGTGAAACCTCGTCCATTTTCAAAAAGTCCCTTAAAACTCATCTGTTTAGGTCCGCCTATGACCTGTGATGCACCCTCCTTGCCCTACCTCATTTTCTGTTTCGGGTTGATCCTGAAGTGTCAAAGTGTCCTCGTTTTATAGCCATTTTCATTGTTTCTATAGAATAGTAGTTACTATCCTAGTGTCTCATTTGTATTTACTTAGTTTACATGTTTTAAGAATTGTAAAGCGCTTAGAGCTTTATGATAAGCGCTATATAAAAATGCCTAAATAAATAAAGAAATAAATATATGTTACGCTTCTGGTAGATTACTCCCACTTCCGTGTGCTTCCTAATTAGCTGTCTGCTTCCTTTTTAGCGTATTTGGTACTGAGATCGTGTTCGTACCTTTTGCTGTATGCTTTTCATTTGGGGACGCATATTTGGGCATGGAAAATAATATTGCATCGAGATATCGTGCAAAATATAATTCCCGATAGATAACTACCGGTACGCTAAATGTTTGTTTTTTCTCTTTTTGTCTTTGTCTTTTTTGTTTTTGAAATAACGCAAATGCGTTTTGTGCTTTTCTTTTTGGAAAATGAAATCGTCTCCAATTAAGTATGGTGTAGTTAATAGTCGGTTTTAAAATGGTTGGGACATTAGAATATTTATAACGTTCAAGGGCGTAAAATAAAAAATGTGCAGTAATGCATCATGAATGGAAGAGGTGTAGCAAAATTTGTGATTCTTAAATGTGCTTGACTTGAGTTCATGTTTTGTCAAGTAACTTTAGTAAATAGGAACTTCACGCATCGCTGTCTACAATATTTAGCGACATATAACTAGTAACGTATACTTTTTTTAAACTGTTTTTTTTTACTCCCTTCGTTTTTCTTTTCCTTGTACACGATACAGTAGTTTTTGACCATGTCCTATGTGTTAATTTTATAATTCATTTAAACAAATGTTTGTATGTATACTATTGATAAACAATGATGTCGTATGACTTGAAACATATAACATTTGACACATTTAAACGGTTGCATAGATGCTTGTAGGACTTTAACTGGGGGGGGGGGGCACAAATAAATTTTTAAAAATGTTGATGACTTACATTTTGTGTGTTTCTTTCTTTCTTGTGGCAGTGACTTGTAATCCCCCAGGTTGGTTCGGACAGGGCTGTAAATACAGATGCCGCTGTGAAAATAACATGTGTGACCAGGAAGGTCGATGCGAGCCCAACTCTAAATGTTCGAAAGTATGGTTTGGTGAATATTGTCAATATCGTAAGTATTTATCGTTCATTTAATCAGAAACTCTTTCAAATAGTATACTATCACTGTCGACCTGTTAGACCACATGTTTTTTTTGTTTTTTTTGTGTGGTCTCCCACGTCATTTTGATCCTTGTGTGATCCACATTATTGCTTGTCTTGTTATATTCGGCATCGGTTTTCACATGATGTGACCTTTCCATTTTCATTTCTTTCCATTAATTCTTTATCAACTGTTATTTTTGTTGAATAGTTTCCTTCACTTCAGTCTTTTTTGGGAATGTGTCGAACGACTAGATGATAAGGGTTATAAAAGAGGTCTTATTCGTTAAGGTTTGTACTCTTTTCCAATATTACTTTCTTCTTCACCAGATTTCTGTGCCATACACCAGGACAGACTGAAAATTTAAGTTAAATATTCAAAGCTTTTTTTTTTTTTTTCCCTATGTGCCCAGAGTTTTAAATCACTTTAGAATAAAGCAAATCCTTCTTCCTTCTTTTAATCTTGAAAGTTGCTTCTTATCTGTTTTCCGTACGCACTTTTCCTTCGCAATCCTCACGTTATTACATTAAACTCCGCGTTTCCTTAAATTTTAATATATTATTTTAAATTCCTTTTTAAAAAAAAAAAATCTATTTTTTATAAATTGTATAGGTTGTTTTTTTTTAAATTCCTGTAACCCCGATCCCTAAAAGTTCGAATTCTTAAAATTATCTAATTTCTTCCATTAGAACTTTCAGAGTTAAGTTTTGTTTTACGCTCTGTTATTCTCAATTCTCTGTAGACGTTTTTGTCATCGAAGCTTTGGTTCTCTGTAAAAGTGTCGGTTTTTCTGTTTCGTCTTTATCCCGTAATCAATGACTTAAATGTGTATTTTAATTTCTTTTTTTTTTTTTTTTGGTAGTTTGCTTTTTTGCGTTGTCGCCCCATGTCCAGCACATCTGGTTTAACCATTTCTAAGAAGGCGTGGATTCTGAGAACCTCAGCCTGTTTTTTAGGCGTACGAATCAGTGTCTTTTCACAACGTTATCTTTGACATATCAAGACGTTTCTAAATATGATATAAAAATCATCACACTTTTATTTGATAGAGGACCTAGCGTCTCTTCAAGGCGTTCGTATCACAACCAACACAGAACAGGAAACAGGCTGGCTTGTTGACAGCGATGACAACACTTGTAACAACGATCAGCAAGTACAGTTCATCTCGATCACCTGGGATACGCCATTTAGGTTCACGTGGCTGGTCCTAAAGTTGAAAAATGATACTCCCTCAGGTAAAAACAATGTTCGTTTGTACTTAATAGCTAATGAGTAGATATCTTTGAAGCGGTATTGGTGTAACTCAAGGTACGAATAGGGTTTTGTCTTATCTTTTTAAAAAAAAGTTATATGTCTTCACCCCCCAGCACCCCTCTTTTAACTTCTAATGTTTTTACTAGATTCGAATTCTGCACATTTAACGTTTACTACAAGCCAGTCAGGGAATGAGCAATGCAGAAACAAGCAACAATCGTTTGTTAACCCATACACAATGACCATACTGTGTGATCTGACGCTTGAAGTGAGCGAAGTTAAAATCACGGGAACCAGCGTCAGATCGGTGTGTTCAATTTACGTTAGCGGAGGTAAGATATTGTCAACTTTTAGAAAGAGCAGTTGAGTTTTTCAAAGCTAATAATTTACAGATATTTAAATATAGCAAATTAAATTCAAAGAAATTTATTTTTGTTTTCAATGAATTTCATGATATTTCTAAGTAATTGAACATTTTATTCAAGGACATTTTGCATGAACGTTAGAATCATAATCTAATGCAGTGTTTAATAACACACCAGATCTAGAAGCTTATTACGCTCTTAATTAATTAAAAAATTAAAAAGAAATGAGATTCCCTCTGAGATTTAAGTAAATCTCATTTTTATTTTAAAATTCTGAACCAGGTCTTCTGTTAATATTTTACATTTTATACTTTTTATACTTTTTATTTAAAACATTAATATTTGGTATAAAGAATAAATACAATTTATTTATCATATATCGATCTCACTCTCTCTCTCTCTACCTCTGTAAACATATCTATATATATATAGATATATATACAGATAAAGAGAGAGAGAGAGAGAGAGATAGAGATTCATAGAAGATGAGAGAGAGAGAGAGAGAGAGAGAGAGAGAGAGGGATAGATATATTTTCAGTGATCTCAATTAAAACATGCAGATAGAAATGTTTCCTTGAGGCAGACGACAAGTCAGTCATCAAACTTTAGTGTGAACTCGCAGTCTCACATGGCACTCGACCGTGAGACCAATGGAAACTTTGCATATATTTGTTATAAAGAATAAATACAATTTATATATCATATATCGATCTCACTCTCTCTCTCTATCTCTGTAAAAATATATATATATATATAGATATATATACAGATAAAGAGAGAGAGAGAGAGAGAGATAGAGATTCATAGAAGATGAGAGAGAGAGAGAGAGAGAGAGAGAGAGAGATGGATAGATATATTTTCAGTGATCTCAATTAAAACTTGCAGGTAGAAATGTTGCCTTGAGGCAGACGACAAGTCAGTCATCAAACTTTAGTGTGAACTCGGAGTCTCACATGGCAGTCGACGGTGAGACCAATGGAAACTTTGCAGGAAACAGCTGCACGCACACTGAGGAAAAGTCTAAGATTACACAAAGCTGGACCATGACCTTTGATAGCCCTGTGATTGTAAACAGATTTCTTATACATAATAGAAATGGTATGAACTCGTTTTATTTTTTGTATGATCGTTATACATTTTAGAGCCGTCAGTTATTTCAAAAAGTGAATTTGAAAGCTGATAGCGTTTTGCCTATCATTATAACCATTAATTATAACAACATTTTTATAATGTTTTACATTTTACAAAATATTAAATCTTACCAAAAGGTACGAAATTTTAAAGAAACAATATAATTTTTGATATACCATAGCTTTATTCTAGAACATACTCACCAACAAACATTATAGTGTTTCACTCACACACAAAAAATAAATGAATGAATAAATAAAACATTTATTATCCCTTGTTTTAGTACCAAAAAAAAAACAACATATTTTTTTAAAAGATTCATCTGTTTAAAGTCTTAGAGTTTTTAGAGCAATATGCGTTTTTTTTAAATTGATCCTAGTCCAGTGACAATACATCTTATTATCTAAGACATTATAATTTACCTGAATTTCAGATTGTTGTTACGATCGATTGAAAACCTTTTCGTTAGAAACGCATGGAAAAGGAGATGCAGCAGTACAAATATATAACAACGATGACTCTGTCAAGCACATATATCGTGTCCCTGTTCCATATGATAAAATGAATGAACCCTTAACAAGCGTAATAATTAGTTCTGGAAAATCTACAATTCTAACACTCTGCGAGGTGGAAGCCTATGGTGGTGAGTTAATTTTGACGTTACCCCACCGATAAAATTTTTAACCAAACACCCCCATTGTGAGGATAGTTTTAAGCAATTTTTAATCAGCTATTTAATTTCGTATAACTTATTTTTTTAATTGATGATATACATTGAATAAAAAAAAAAAGCTGCTCACGTGTCGTTTTCAAAAATAAAATGATATATTCTACAGTAGGGTTATAATGACGTGTGTTGGTGCATAACAAATCTAAGTGAAATAAAAGAGGAGGGTGATTCCAGAGAATGTGCCACCAGAACAGGGTGCCGCCAGATCAGAAGTTACCTTGCCACACTGGGTGACAACGGGCCTAGTGACGCCACTTCTATGTCATTAAACACACTTATTTTTTTAACGTTAACTGTGGGCTGAATATGTATTCTAAAAATATAAATTGGCTAATATTATAAAAAAATATTTTAAAATACACCATCTTTACCATATAAACAATTTAAATATAATATTTATTTATAATAAACAATTTGGTATGCTTATAATTTTTTATTTTTGTTTTTCATATTGCTTCAAACGTATATTTTTTTGTAATACCACAGACTGTCCACCTGGCAAATGGGGCTTGGAGTGCAATAAGGATTGTCCATATTCGTGTAGCAAGACTTGTAACCAAGAAACAGGTTCATGTAACTATTGTCATGGTTACAGTAATCCACCTTACTGTACCGAAGGTTGTTATTTGAACGCATACTCCATTATATATTAATTAGCTATTGTTTGTTGATTTTCAATAGGACTAGAGTAACGGTAAACTACTATCATCGTCTACTTAAAATCATGTCAATGTATTGTTATACCGCCTCTTATTCTTTTATTCTTGAACAGAAAGACATAGTAAACACTTTAATAGCAATCTGCCATTAACTGGTCCTATAAGTTGTTGCAGTCTATTGTACATACAATTTATAAAAGCACTGATTTTGATGTGGTATAACCTGTGAAAATATAATATGACATTCTGAAATTATGCATATTTACTTCCAAATAATTAGTAAGGCCTTATATATGCCTTATAAATGCCTTCTATATACCATCTATATGCCTCCTATATGCCTTATATATGCCTTCTATGCGCCGTCTATATATCTTCTATATGCTTTGTAAATGATTTATACATGCCTTTAATGCCTTATGTAGCCTTCTATATGCCTCCTATATACCTTCTACATGTCTTCTACATACCTGTTAATGCCTCTATATGCCCTATATATGTCATCTGTCCTCTATACTCCTAAATATACTTAATTCCATCTCATTTTAAAATTCAGTTTGCCTCCCTGGTAAACACGGCAAAAACTGCTTAGAAACTTGTCCTACAAATTGCGACACTAATGCCAGGTGTGATGCATTTACAGGCAACTGTAAAGTGTGTAAGCCTGGGTTCCTGGGACACGTATGCAACAACAGTAAGTTACATTAACTCTTTCTTTTTAAGTGTGTCTTAGGAATACATTTTTAATCATTCCCCTGCGTCGAGATGGAAAGCAAATAAAAAACAACAACTAATTTTTATTGGTATACAAAAATAGTCCAGGAGCTTTATTATGTTACACGCTTAATACATCGTTCTCTAAGCAACAATGTAACTAACCCTAACAGAGGGCACTTATTCACCTAAAATAATTCCTGATAACTGTGCTAAATGATATTATTAAAAATACCCCTGTTGCTTTTGATGGGTATGTTTTCTTTTTTCTTTTTTTTTTTTAATACGGAAATAGCCTCAATACCTATAAGAATGAGCTAGAGTCACATCACGCCAAAAGGAAGATAACATTTAAGTACGTTCGGAATCCTAAAAACAATCATAGTTATTTTCTATTATTTTACGGAAAACAAATACATTTAAATGCGCAAAAAATATTTTAAATCCGCTTTTATTTTAGTAAATGTTTAAATATTATTATTATAAATTACAAATACATTTAAATTATCAACTAAGGAACTATTTTAAGCATTTTATATATGTTTAAAAGTTATGAAAAAAAATTTAAAAAATGAAAAAAATCATGATCAAAGAATTACACCGTAATCACATTTATCGGGAAACCCCAAAAATCAGTCGTTTTTAGTGCGCCTTTTAGTGCCTTGTTAACATTGTGAAATAAAATTTTAAATTAATTTGTTCTAAATAATCACGCAAATGACGTCATAGAGCCAATAGCTTATTTCTCCATAAACTCTTAGGTTTCTTTAAATTTAATAACCGCGAGTGACAAAACTGATACTGTATTTTCCCTTCTTAAAAGTAAAATTAATAAATATAATTGATTGCTTTTTAAATTTCTGTATATTAACATTAAAAAGTTTTGCCTTTTTTTATTCCAAAAATATACATTTATTAAAATTATAACGTAATAAAAACTAACCTTTAAATATAATTATAATAAGAAAATGCGGTTTACGTCAAACAGTGCAGCGCGACTCCATAGCCAAATAGCTTTGAGTAATCCACTTATACCTCATACAAATAAGAACGAACCATATGAAGTGCAAAATATGTTAGTTTGGGCATTGAAGGGTCTACAATCCGCTGGAAGATTTTCTAAATTTATTTAAATCTGAGTGGTGGAGGGGTTGGTCACTTTGCCCCAGGCAGCACAAGATACGTCTTAAAAGTAAAGGAATGAATTTGATACATAATCAACCTTCTTGGGTTCATTCATATCGGAGGTAGGAAATAGGATGAGTACATTTTTACGTGGATGACACTATATTTAAATCCTATTGTATTACAATTATGAAAAAAGTGATGCTACATGTTCTTTTTACAAATATGGGTACGTTCATTTTGTCCAATGCAGCACAAAATACGTGCCAAAATAAAGGAATTAATTTGATAAATAATTAACCTTCTTGGGTACATACATATCGGAGATAGGAAAAAGAGATGTGTACTTTTTACGTTGACGACAATATATTTAAATCCTATGGTATTACATTTTTGAAAAAAGAGATGTTAAATTCTCTTTTTACAAATAACCATATGTTGACATGAAGATGGGTTAATATTTTCTTTTAAAAAAAAAATGAAAATTTATTTTTGTTGTTACTTTTATGTATTTTTATGAGATTAAACATTTATTTTTTTTTTAAAGAAAGTCAAATCTGATATAGGTGTGAAAAACAATTGCGAGAGTCTTCTCAGATAAAAGAATTCTTTGGTTTACGATTTTCTGATAGTGTATACTTTTTTTTTGTTGAAAAGGCAAAAATGTGTTTAAATTTTTAATGAAGATATCAATATATCTGGAATTCCTGTAATGCAAAATATATTTATATCATATATAGAGTTTTTGTTGTAAATATAAGATTAGATTTTTTAACATTTTTGAGAGAAAAAGTTGTAATTCAAGGGCACGAAAAGGGGTAAATCTAATGTATTTCTCTAGCGTAGGTATTGTCTCTCAATTAACTTCTTTAGTGACAAAAATAATATAATTATTGATAATTGAGAGGTAATGTAAGGTCATATTTAAAGTGGGAAAAGTAGGTTAGGAGCGTGAAAGGGTCTAGGGTACGCGTATCACATAGAGCAGATAAACACTTCTTAAAACTTAATTATGTTAGAAACGTAAATATCATTACATTTTGAAATTTATGAATTGGGATGAGTTTTTGAAATAGCATTTAGAAATTATCGCAAAGGATCTACTCTTATATCCCGATAGCATCGGGTCATTTATTCTAGTTTAAATATAATGTAATACAAATGCGGCGCAAAAGAGTATGTGGCATTATACTTTTAAGATAATTCAGGGGCGTGGAAAAAGTGTGCGGCTGTTATACGTGGTCTGGGTTAGGGGGGGGGGGACTAATTGGGATTCTGATAAAGTCCGTTTTATTTTAATACATGCTTTTTCAAGTAATTTTAGAATATGGAAAGTTAACATGTTGTGTCCTTCATTCTTGGGTGGGCTTTNGGGGGGGGGGCTGTAGTGTAAGGTGGTGGCGCGCTGTAGTGTAATGAGGTGGGCGCTGTAGTGTAAGGTGGTGGGGCTGTAGTGTAAGGTGGTGGGGCTGTAGTGTAAGGTGTTAGGGGCTGAAGTCTAAGGTGGTGGGGACTGTAGTGTAAGGTGGTGGGGGCTGTAGTGTAAGATGGTGGAATTCTCTTAGCTTTATCAGGGACTTATTAGTTCTCATTGGGAATTGTGACTTCAGGGGGAACAAGCTGGTCAATTCGTACAGATAACAAAATAAGGTTCATTAAAAAAATTATTGATTCCTTGAGGGCCCATCAATACGAAAAATCAGGTTTAGCACCTATATCTGTTATCACCATTTATATTAATTTATGTGAGAGTCTTCAGGGTTTTTTTTTCTTTTAAAAAAATGTATGAGGGTAAAAAAAAAGAAAAAAGAACAAGATAAACACGTCCTAAACTTACACCATCATGCTTATTTTAGCCTTTCACACCCACTTTACAACTTCTGAATCAGCTACAACTATATATATCTGACTTGTTTTAGATATTAAACAATGCACTGAACAATAGTGTAAGCGTACACGAAATGTCTCTGTGAAGAGCACTTTAAGAAAGACATTATTTCTATTGTGTAGGTACATGGTGATCCTAACCCAAGACTTTTTTTTTTTTTAAAAGTGGGCGTGGGGGGATTTAGTACATTAAAAAATAAAGATGTTGTTGTTTTAAAATTAAAAAAAAAAAAAAATGTAATTTTTGGATTGTCATTGTTTATTTTTTCAAATAATTGTATGCGAAGCGGGGTGAGCCCAGCCCTATAGGCTGTGTTACCTCACTATATAAGATCACTGTAATAATAATGATGATAATAATAAGAGCCTTGCAAATGTTGGCCAAAAATAAAATGAACGAAAATAAATATATCGGTATGAACATCTGAATACATGGAAATAAAGACATGCGATGATATTTATTTCATCAATGTGTTAAAAATGCAACAAACTCAAAGAACAGAACAATGCGATATACTAGAGAAAGAACTGACCAACTTGAGACTTTCAAATGCTATTAATAAATGGTAAAATATGCGATGACGTATCTTGTTGTCCAAAAATTTTACCCATTTTTAAAATAATTATCTCTATATTATTAGAACGTGCAAGAGGTCAATGAGGTGTAAATTGTAGCACTATCAGGTAACATGTGAAGAAAGATCCTCTGTTAAGAATTATTATTATGCTATCCCATCGCCCGTCCTGCTTAGTTCATTTATACCAATAGGATACTGGAGAAACATCCTTTTTTATCCATAAGGCTCACTAGCCTGAAGCCCACCAAGAGCAGGGGCACATGAAACCTTTATTCATGCCGTGATAATGCTGCATAATTGAGAATTCCTTATATATGAGAAGATCTATAGAGAAGTCTGCAGACGTGTGTTCCATTAATATTTTTGTTGTGTGTTTTGCTTTTTTGGTTGCGACAATTATCGTTAATCTTTGTAATGTTGCTCAGTTTTATTATTGAAACTATGTTGTTTTTTTTTAACTGTTCTATTTTCGTTTATATTTCTTTCTTATCTTGACAGGCTGTTTTCCAAAGAATTTCGGACTAAACTTTCAAAATGATTGTCCTATAAATTGTTTAAACCAACTATGCAACCATGTGAATGGTTCTTGTTACATATGTGAACCTGGGTATCAAGGCATAAAGTGTGACCAAGGTTTGTGGAAAAGATCAATTTTATCGCTCCAAATTTTAAAAAAAAAATGTTTTTTATGACTTGGATAACAAATTGTAATAATTAAAATAATATCTTGATATGCTTTTACATATTTACCGCGTCAAAATTAAAATACAATAAGGTGTATTTTTAAAAAAAAAAATTGTTAATAATAGTTATCTTGTTACAGATTGTAACCTTGGATATTACGGAATAAACTGTCAATATTCATGTCCAGCTACATGTAGCCAGAAACGATGTAACCATGTCAATGGAGCATGTGAAAGTTGTGTGTCTGGTTATCAAGGAGATATGTGTCAGCAAGGTATTTTGGAAATTTTCAATTCCATCGCACGGCGTGCTAAGCTTATATTGACCATTAGCATACTGGAACAGGACAGTGTTATCAATCAGGCTGATTAAGCTGAAGTCTAGGGGCCCAGCATCAGCAGGGTCACGTGCAACTTATAGCATTGGCATGGTAATGCTGCGAAATCGAACATTCCAAATTTAGGATGCGGCAATAAAAAGCACGAAATGTTGCAGACAATGGTTCTTTTTGAATATTTGTTTATGTCAACTAGCGTTAATCTTAGTAACGAAACTCAATTTTATTATTATGCCTATGTTGTTTTTCGTTAAATTGGTTATTTTTTGTAAAAATAACTTTTCTCTTATCTTGACAGTCTGTAGCCCTAAGAAATTCGGACTCAACTGTCAAAATGATTGTCCAATAAATTGTAAAAACCAACTTTGTAACCGTGAGATTGGTTCTTGTTCCAGTTGTGAACCTGGGTATCAAGGCATAAAGTGTGACCAAGGTTTGTTGGAAAATATCAATTTTATCGCTCGGCTTAATGTGTTGTTCTTGTTTAATGATCTTTATGATTCGGATAAAAGATTTTAATAGATTAAAAAATATCTCTATATGCTTTTAATTATGTAACGCGTCAAAATTAAAATATACTGGTGTCTATTTCTTTTTTAAATTTGTCATTTTGTGTTTTGTTGGTACAGATTGTAACCTTGGGAGATACGGAATGAATTGCCAATATTCATGTCCAGGAAAATGTAGCAACAAACGATGTAACCATGTCAGTGGATCATGTGAAAGCTGTGTCTCTGGTTATCAGGGAGCTATGTGTCAACAAGGTATTTTTCAATTTCTGCAAACTTTATTTTGACCATTTGGATGCTGACACAGCGCAGTATTATCCATATGGCTTACTAGGCTTAATTTTCTAGGGGCCCACCAAAGGCAGGGGCAAAATTCTGAGGCACCAAATAAAGTTCGAAGCCCAAGATTAATACTCTTTTTTCTGTAGTAGTACTTTTTAATTATCTTAGGACTTTAAAAAATAATTAAAATATCTAAATGCTATTTTTTCTTAGTTTGTCTTAATTTTGCTGGTTTAAAAAGATATAAAAACTATAAAACGTTAATATGAAATTGCTTAAGAATATTATTCAAATAATGTGTCTGTGTTTGCTAAATGAATAAAGATGCACAAAGTTATGCACATTTGCAAAGAGAAAATGGGTAAATATAGTTTGAGTGGCGTAGCCCTATATGACTAAATAAACTTAAATAGCATGCATTGAAAAATAATATTTCTTTTCCTAAATTCTTGAAAGATTCAGTAAATTATAAACCAGTTCTGTATTTTTGTTTTTGTTTTTGCAATAGTTTGCAGCCCAAACACCTACGGAGTCAATTGCTCATTTGAATGCTCTACGCGTTGTAGAGATAACATGTGCTCAGCCACGGAAGGTGTTTGTCTCTCATGTTACCCTGGTTACCAAGGACAGCTCTGTGACCAAAGTAAACGATACGTACTTATTGGAAATACTAATATTAAACTAATGGGCACGAAACAATATAGGATTCCAATCCTCTCTACGTAACAATTTTATTAAGACATAAATCTTTCGATATTCTCACTATCATGTACCTTCCAGAAAATGCAAAGCACGGAGACTATTGGAGAAACATTGTATTGTGAATTTATAATTAAAATTTAACGTGAGTTACACAAAAATATACGTTTACATTAAGTTCATCTTTAAAAACAATACTTTGACATAACTATAAGCTGCGTCAAAATGTATAAAGTATATTAATCAGATATAAAAATATGTGTGGAAAAAAAACATAACAATTAACTTTAAAATTTAAAAAAATACGACATAAAAATTCAAGACATTTTTTTTTATAAATGCATGCATAAATACAACGAAGACACAAAGTTTCAAAAACGTTAAGATACAATTTTCATAATTTAAACAGGGTGGACAAAAACAAATTAGATGGTTGTATAATCCTTATGAAATTATTATCGCAATTGTTTTAATTTTTCTAAAAATATGTCCATCCTTGTCGTAGTATTGCGATGTTATTTGTCATAAATGATGAAACGTGGGTTATTATGAAGGATGTTGTGAAATGGTATTATGGTGAATGTGTTCTTGAGATTGTGTAGGTGGAGGCAACGCAGTTAGGGCCATGGGAATAGGCCTGGGTCCGGAGACCCGGTTGTTGCAAGGAACGTTTTTGGGGTATGAAAAGGATTATTGAGATGGTACGTGTTGTTTGGGCTTCGTCGGGAATTCAGGAGACACAACTTGAACATCATTTGCTACAAGATGGACGCACCAGGGTGGGGCTCTGCGTGGGGTTGTACGGCGCTGCAACTAAACGCCCATTCAGACATGTGTTTAATCTTGCAAAAAGGATATGGTCCTGAATGCTGATTTTGTTAAGGATGTAACGTGTGATTTGTTTTAATGTAAGCTTTAAAGCAATTTGTTTTTAATTTTCAGTCTGCAATGCAACCTATTATGGCCAAGATTGTGTCAAAAAGTGCAACACGTCATGTATGGATCATCTGTGCGATCCAGTAATTGGGAGCTGTTACAATTGTCCCATAGGGAGACAGGGCGATCAGTGTGATTGTATGTGGAAATGTTTTAAAATTGTTTTAGAAAAGTTTGATGATACACATTAGTGCTACAATATAATAATTATAACAATATAGAGAACAGTGTTGTTTCAATGCCTTACACAATTGTAAACATATAATTCTTTATGTAATCGACATGTTGAAGTTTAAAACATATTATTTTTAAATCCAACATTTGTCCAAAGAATATTTGTTCATGTCAACACACTCACATACCAATGTGTATATGCATTTACTAAACAAGATGTCGTGAGAGATGTCTTAAAAAATAAATAGCATTCTACTATTGTATAGTTAGGCAAGTAACACTTTGCCTTAATAAAACCTTTTGCTGTAAATTATTTCTACAATTAACGTACACACAAAACTGATTATGTATAACTAGAAAGATATATCCCCCGGTGTTACCGTAAAATTTATTGTTACCGAAATAATAAGGGAAGGCACAATACGCAACTTCCCACCTTTCAAACATCCAATTTTACGTATCTAACTGAATGAATGGTACCCTATACATTTTTTTTAAAGACAAAATTCAAAGCCCTTGTATTGAACATTGAGAGAAGAATAAATTAGATTATCGTTATTTTTAAAGAACAATCTATTTATAGATATGTGCGTATTTTATTGACTATCATTGGACTTTTGAGATATTTTTCACGTCTAAATAAACTAGGTCAACAAAACCCTTTGAACCATGAAGAAAACACTTATTAATTTTTTTAGAACTTATTTATTATTGTAAAAACATACCTTTAAAGTTAATAAATATAGGCAACACTTTAAATACATTAACAACGCATTTTGATATTTTCATATCTTAATTAAAAGTTTACCCAACCTCTGGCTCGCTCCTGACCAATGTAATCGGAATAATGTTTAAAACTGAACTCTTATAGTTTAAGATCAATTTATTCTCCAAATTGCACTTCTGTAACAATCTCGTGTTTAAAAAATAAGAATTATTATTTATCTTATAATTTATCTGAATTGTAAAATTACAATGTGTTTTAGTTTCCAGGAAATTCGTATCCAATACGTTCTCCTTTCCAACTTGATTGAGTTTTGAGTTATGGGTATATTTATGTAAATGAGTAGACAATGTGTCAACGCCCGTGTAGTACATTGTCCGACATAAATGTTACACTTATTTATTTATATAAAAAAAAGAAAAGCTAATACATCTTTTTTTACGATTGTTCTATCATTAGATTTAAATCGATCGTTATTCAAATAAATAATGAACACATCCTCCTTCCTGTAAATCAAATGTGTTTGCGATAGAAAGTTTAATCAATTATTTCAATAGTTTCAAACTATCTATGAACCAATTTCCTGTATGGTAACCTATTTGAACTTTGAGACATTGCTATTTTAACAAAAATGCACCCACCAATTCTGTGGTGACCAATTTGATATAACTTTATCAACAAAAAAGAATCGGGTGGAGGAGGAGGGGCTATAGCTATTTGTGAAATAAATCTCCGCTTTAAAAGGTTGTAAGACTTTATATATATATATGTATGTATATGTCATCCTTCCGTCTTTGTGAGACTATGGAGTAGCTGTATAGTTCTGCACTTTGACGAGTGGCTCACTAGGCCAATCCTAGAATGGCACTCACGGCCGCATCTTTCGAAGGAGAATATTGAATCCCGGTAAATTCTTGACTTCGAAATTGTTGTTTTTGATTCCAGGGCCTCGTTTCGAGTATGTACTGCCTTTAGAACTATGAATAATTACATGGTTCAGAGCGGAGCGATACCGTACTGTGTTGAGGGCGGTGACGGGAAAGGGGGGGGGGGTTGCTACCTGGGGTTCTTAAAGAGTGTCTTACTTGAATGCACGTTCTGTCAGTATTTTTAGTAGATAGGAAGTTCACGCATTGCAACAGACATTTTTTTTTGGCGAATATAACTAGTTAAAAAAAATTCGTACATTTTGTACATTAAATTTATTTCTGATGTATAAGAATATGCATAATTATTATTATTAAAGATTACACGTCCTTGTATGAAAGCAGATACATTTCATCGGATTAAATTTGATTCGAATGCCATAAAACAATAGCAAATCACTATCATTGTTTAAAGAATCCGGGCGTATTTAAATGGGTTCGACTTCCGTAAGTTAATCTAAAATGACCTTTTCTTTATTTTATTTTGTTAAATCAGTGATAAAATTTCTGAATAATTTTCTTAAACTTTTGACATTCTTATGAAAATGATTTTCCAAACGCAAATTAATACGAAATTAGAAGATAATTATAGATTATACTTGATTCTTTTCCATATTTCTTAGAATTTCCATTTTTTTCTTTCAAAATCAGCAGGGAAACGATAGTATGCGCGAGTTCAGCGAATAGAACAGGCAAGAGCGACCGCGTACATAAATATGATCAAATTGATACATATTAAATTTGTTAATTCATTTAAACATATTATTGATATTTATAAACAGAAGTAGAAAAAAGAAAAAAAGTTGGCAATTATGTTTGGAGAATAAAAATTTGTAAAGAATGCATTTTATATATTATTTAAAAGAAATATTGTAGAATTGAAAGAAAATATTTATATTTTATCAATTAACCCCGCCCCCCCCCCTCCCACAATTTTCTTATAACTTTCAGTTTGCCCGACTGGAAGTTTTGGTGAAGGATGTTTAAGTGACTGCAGCGCCAACTGTTTGGGGGGAAACTGTCATCTGGAGGATGGAACTTGTCTTCAAGGCTGCAAAGATGGCTTTGATGGTGATATGTGTAATCTATGTGAGTCCATTTACAAAGCATTTTATGGCATATTTTACTTCAATGAAACTACTATTAACGTGTATATTATATAATAATAATAATAATAAGAGGTCTTATATAGCGCGGTACCCCGGCTGAGGGCTGGGCTCACCGCGCTGTACATAACAATTTTATCAAAAGAGACATAATCATGACATTAAAATAAAATACATTTATGAAATAAAGAACAGCAATGTATATTCACCCACCCCACCACATAAATTTTACAAGGCAAACCATGGACGGCGCCAGCAAGATCGTTTATCGGTCAGAGGAGGGGAATCAGTTAGTGTAGTATAATTTAAAAAGATATGTTCTGAGTGCAGTTTTGAAGGCCTAGGTGGTTGGTATATTGCGT